CCCTGGAAGGGATAGCCAAGACATATTCTCTTCTCCTCCACTCTCCTATTGGGAAGTGGGACACACATGCACATGATTTTCAAGCCACCAGGTCCAGGACTTGAACTGCACTGGTGGTCACGTAGGATCCAGCACCTTATCTTCCACATCACTAGCTGGCCCAAGACTCCACCTTTTAATCCTATAGTCAGATTAGGTTTCCATACTCTTTTTTTTTTTCCTTTTACTTTTGCTATAGAATGAGAGTGCTCACTGGAGAGAGACAGAGAGAGGGAGATGAAGGGAAAGTAGAATCAACCTCCAGTGAAGGATGGCATGCCACGATCTTTTCTTCTCCACTCTCCTCTTGGGACTTTGACTGCGTGCACACACACACACACACACACACACACACACGTTGTGTTTTTCAAGCCACCAGGGCTGGGACTTACACCACACATTCGGTCATGTGGGATCCACCCTACCTTAACCTCTGTGCCACCTACTGTACCCAGTTTCCATAATCTTAATGCCTTCACAATGTAATTAAACTTCAATATATAAATTTGGAGGGAACACTTTCAAGTCAGTATTTTTTTAAAAAGTCTCTAAATAGCAAAGTAGATTTGCCCTACATAGCTTGTGAGTAATAGAGAAAGCCATAGCTTTGTCTTAGACTTCAGATCTAGTGTCTGTATCCATGGCCTCCTCAGTGTGGGCTTATGGATTAGAAGAGAAGGTACTGAGAGTCTGTGATTCTATTCTTCTTTTGGCCCGGTTCTTAAGCAAAAAGACCTGTACGTTCAAGAAGGTAGAGCATCTTAACTTAGAACAAAAATACATCTTGGAAAAAGTTTCTAAAACCAGAGATCATCTTTTATCATTAAATGTCAAAAATATTTTTATTGGGGCCAACCCATGGCACATGGTTAAGGTGGCTGGATCCCATATGACCAACTGCACAGTTCGAGTCCCAGACTCAGTGGCTTGAAAAACACTCCAGGTGTGTGTATGTGTGTATGTGCTTGCATGCATGCCCAAAATCTCCAAAAGGAGGAAGAGATGGAGGAGAAGAGATTGCAGTGTGACCATTCCCCATGGGGGGGGGGCATTCTCACAACCCTATCCCACCCCATCACCCTCAGGCAAGCACACGGACCCTCTGGCAAAATTTTAAAATTATATAATTTCATCCATAGTCAGGTAAAATAAGGTTTCCAGATAATACTAGCCTCCAAAAGACTCTAATTGAGCTGACCCACTGTCTTTTCTTTAAAGTTTAAAATTAATTATTCCAAAGGGCTATTGCCCGTCATTAGCAAAGGGCTGTAGAAACCATCATGTAAGAAGCCACTGGCTTTGAAGTAGACACTGTTAATAATAAAAACAACAAATGTGTCCAGCTAGTATTTTTCCACTCATAACACATTGTCAGGATCACAGACTCTCTGTCACTGTTTTAGGAAGGTATAATTTTCCTTGAGTGGTAAGGAACATACCCACTGGACCAGCAGTGTTGGTGCAGATGGTGAGGCACCACTGCGTGATGCTGGGACCATGTGAGGAGACCCCAAGATTGAGACCCTGGGTCAACCTGTACAAGTTGTGCCCGTGCACATCATGGCCCTGGTTGACTGGAAGTCTGCAGTTAGTAAGAGGGATTGCTGTACGGACAGACCTTGTTAGGATCTCTTTCATTTAAAAAAATGAGCAAATAAATTTAAAAGAAAAAAAATTTAAATGTACTCAGTTTCTAAATCTTGATTTCCTTTATAGTTTTTTAAAAATAATTATTTATTTAATTAATTATTCATTTTTGTTATTATTATTTTAATTTTCTGTAGGACACATGAACTCACCAGAGGGAGAGAGGAAGAGAGACAGAGAAAGTGAGAAAGCAAGCTTCCAGGTCCAGGATTCAAACCACAGTAAGCCATGTGGGAGTCCAGCGTCTTGACCACACACCACTTGCTGGCCCCTTGGATCTTGATTTCTAAATATCATTCTTGGGACCAGCAGTTAGCGCAATGGCTATGTCACTGGACTCCCATGTAGTTGACCATGGTTCGAGTCCTGGACTCGGTGGCTTAAACTCGCGCCGGGCACGTGTGTGTGTGTGCCCAAGATCCCGAGAGGAGAATGGAGGAGAAGGGATTGTGGTGTGACCATCCCCCTGGGAGGTGATTTTTCACTTTCTGTCTCTCTGTCTCTCTCTGTCTTTCTGGCGAGCATACGTGCCCTATAGCAAAAACTCTCCAAAAAAAAGAAAAGAAAAAAAAAAAAGGAAAAAAAATCATTCTCCATGAAAAGGAACTGAGTCTCTTTTCAGAAATGACTGATTCTAGAGCTGGGGTGGAAAAATGCAAAAGAAGCCTGAGCATCTTGTAGTGCCAGAAGTGAGGAAAGGCTCGAAGGATAAAAAGACAGGGCCATGCTAGAGGGACATGGGTGCTAACCAGAAGAGCTCTCATTGACCAAAGTTGCAGCAACTCAAGTGACTGTGATGCTACAAAATGAATATTTGATCTTCATTCCCATTTCCTATTATACCATTGCTCAAATGCTTGAAATCACCAAAGTGATGAGACTTTTTGTATGCCAGTGAAATGATTGATGGTCTGGGAACTTCTAGATAGCTTCAGGTTGGAGGCTGGTCATTGAAAGACCAGGACAAAATTAGAGGGCTGGGGCTTTCAGCTCCGCTACTCAACTTCCAAGGCTGGGAGAGGAACTGAAGGTTAAGGTGATCGCCAGTGGCCAATAATTTAATTAACCATGTCAACGTATTGAAGCCTCCATAAAAACCAAAAATAACTGAGTTCAGAGAGCTTCCAGATCCCTGAACGAAGATTCCTGGGAGGTGCTTTGCACACTTAGAGAGAGCATGAACGCTCCATCCCTTCCCCCACATCTTCCCTTCTGTATCTTTTTATCCACATCCTTTATAATAAACTGGTAAATGTAAGCAACAGAAAAGCTGATGAAAGCCAAGTAAAGCCTGAAATTAAGCTAATAGCAATATACCAAACATGGCTTCTTAGTTTTGACAAATGTACCATCATGATAAGAGGGGAAATTGAAACTGAGGCTGAAAGTTGTATGGAAATTCTCTGTACTATCTTTGCAATTTTCTGCAAATCTGTCATTGTTCCAAAGTGAAAATTTATTTTTTTAAATATAATTTTAAATCCTTTTTATTGGGTTGACAGAAAAGTCATTTTCTACACAAAAATGTGTCTTGACTTTTCTGACCATCCAATGTATAAGTATCATAGATGTTCAATTTTTTTTCTTACATAAAAAAACCAAGCTTTTCTATTCTTTATTACCATGAAATCTAAAAGTTGTTCCTGATGAGTCAGGGAATTACTTAATAAATCATAGGGTATGCTGTCCATGGCTGATGTTTCACTTTAGGCACAATAACTGAAGCATTTATGTCAGTGACTTACACATGACAGGAATAGTGGGTGCCTTATTTAAAACCTCTGAACACAGGAGTCATACATGAAGAGAGTTTTGGCATTGGATGTCTTACATAGTGTCATAAATGTATATTTTAGTTTTGCTCAGTGAACTACATTCATTCAACAATATTGACCCTAAAAACAAGAGAAAGATCATGTGATTTTTAACTTCCTTTCAACCCTTAGTCAATCAATAAATATTTGCGTTTTTAACTAGTCCATACTGTTGCTAATAACAGAAAATATCTGAAACTAGATGACTTATAATAGAGATTTGGAGGTCCGAGGTCCAGGGATATATTTGGTGAGGGTCTTTTGATGCATTACAACATGGCGGAAGGTAGGAGCTCATGTGTCTGTGTCCGTGTGTCTCTGTCTTATCCCCTCTTCTACACACACACCTTCAATCATGGGGTCTCCCATCCATTGCTAGTCTCTCGTCCAGGATGACACAGCCTTTCAACTTAGATCTTACTTACACTGGGAAGCCTGTTCTTATTCCCCCGAACGAGGTCAGACATCCCACGTATTGGACTTTCAGAGTGCTTTCCACTCTGTATGCAATTCCCCGTTGACTTTCTGTCTCTTCTGCTAGAATGAATGTTTGTTGAGTTTAGATTATCACTACACTCTAGCACCTGGCACCAGTCCTAAAATACAGTTATATAATCAATGTATGTCTGCCAAGACATTCCTTTAGCAAATGTTAGATTCTAGGACCTTAAGTCAAAATTTTATGGTCATTGTTTAGGAAGAATATGAAGGGGCTATAATTTACCCTTCAGTTAGGCTTCCACTCAGTCAAAGGTTGTGGCTTCCCCTGAGACAGATGACTCAGGATATTTTCATATCTGTCGGACAAAGTGTGAGTTGTCTCGTGAATGAGCTATTTCATCAGGAGTGGAGATGGCCGGCTAGAGGTGGTCCAGTACAAGCATTGGGGGCAGAGGAGGGCATGCCCACATCTAACGAGTTCTCCCTCTCCGGGGTGATTCAGGTACATCCTTGGATTATGTGCATCTCAAGAGGACTGCTGTCTTGCCTGGTACCTAGAAGCAGAGAGAAGAAGTGATTCCCTTTAAAGACAGAGACTGGAGAGTTCTGAAATTATGATGGCTAATGTCTTGAGACGCTGTTCAAACCGGGGTGATTCAGGTACATCCTTGGATTATGTGCATCTCAAGAGGACTGCTGTCTTGCCTGGTACCTAGAAGCAGAGAGAAGAAGTTGTGATTCCCTTTAAAGACAGAGACTGGAGAGTTCTGAAATTATGATGGCTAATGTCTTGAGACGCTGTTCAAACCAGGACATCAGAGAAATACTTAAATAACTCTATTAAATATTGATGTTCATCCTCTGGATTCTCTTATGCTGGATAACATGCTGTGTGATATTTTATAAAAGATTCCTCTACTTCCCCTTTTCACTTCATTAATACAACCAGCGGTGCTGAGCTCCCTCCAGGCTGTTATGGGCTTGTGCTGCTCTGGCGATCTGGGCTCCACTGGCCAATCTCCCAAGAGCTCCTCTGTCTCCGGCCCTGAAACAGGCTCCATGCTGCTGTGGGTGTCCTTGCTGGTCCTTGGTAAGTGTTGGAGAAAAGGTCTCTGCTCTCTGCGAAGCCTGAGCCTCACCAGGAGCAAAAGGCCTCTCCTCTGGGCTGTGGAAATCAGACTTCACAAAGTTTTATTTTCAAAACAGAGGGAAGATAATGATGTATCTATGTTAGGGGAAAAAGTGGCAGTTAATGTCCATTGAGGTGTTTTGGCTTTGTAATTGCCTATAGTAAATTTGTAATCACCTATAGTAAATTTCTAATACCCTAAAGTGGGTTTATTTTTCATATTAAGCAAACAAACAAAAAACTACAGCTAGATTCGGCCCCCTCCCCAAATCACAGCTCATGAAGATGCAGTATAAAAAATGAACCGAGTCCCTTGTGAAGGACTATTTCCCAATTGTGAGCTAAGGCACTAATGATCTTCTGCTGAGAACAGTTATTTCCTTCTCTGTATTCTAAGATCACACCTGCTCCAATGTTTGCAGAGAACATGAGAAGAAATAAGATGATTTCCCTTTGAATTTTTCTCCCTCTGCTTCTGTACTACCTGTCAATATTTGTCCAAACAAGGCACTGAGCTCCTTGTAGCTCAAGCTGGGGAATTAAAGAACAGTCTTTTGTTTATTAAATATTTATTCAGCATGTTTGTCTTATTCTCACCTCTATCCCCAGATCCTAAGGGGAGGGTTACTCGTGTGATCGGCACCTCATGGGAACTTGGTGGACAGTAAATGGTTGAATGCCTAGCACATGGCTGGGCACCACAGAGGACGCAGGACCTGGGGGATGCAGCCTCTGCCCTCAAGTGCTGCCCCTCTGATTAGGATAACAAAGTGCACATGCAAGAACATTTGACTGGCAAGACAAGAAAAGTATTACATGGCGGGCCATAGGATAATGTTATGGCAATAATTAATTCTTGCTGAGCCCTGTGTCCCAGACCCTCTCTAGAGAATATCCCATGTACTAATTTATCCAACTCTCTAACAGTCAATGGGCTGGAACTGTTGTCCCTTCCATTTACAAATGAGGAAACGGAGGCACAAAGACTTTACTCTGTCTGAAACTCATGCAGCAGGCACAGTGACAGAGTCAGGATTCAAACCCTCAATGTGGCTTTGGAAACAATGCTTCTAACCAGTACCTCATACTTGATATCCACATATCAGTTCCAAATAAGCTATAATAGCAAGTGTCCTGAGTCCAGAGAAGAGAGAGGCTGCTTCAGTCTAAAGGTATCTGAAAAGGCTTCACAGAGGAGGTGTGACTTCACCTGGGCCTTAATGCCTCAGTGTGACTTGATGTTGCTTGCTACAGAAGGAGGAGCAAAATGTTCTAGGCAAGAAGACAGCAAAATCAAGTCTCAGCAGCAGCCCTGTATTAAGGAACTAATGATATCAACCACTAGTCAAGGACTTACACTAATGCAACTCATGCCAATTACTGTGAGGCCACTTTTAAAAAAAGAATTATTTATGGGACTGGCAGTTGGTGTAATGGCTATGTCACTGAACTCCCATGTAGTCAACCACAATTCGAGTCCCGGACCCGGTGACTTAAACTCACGCCAAGCATGTGTGCATGCGTGCCCAAGATCTGAAGAGGAGAATGGAGGAGAAGGGATTGCAGCGTGGTCATCCCCCCTGGAGAGTGATTTCTCGCTTTCTGTCTCTCTGTCTCCCTCTGTCTTTCTGGTGAGTGCACGTGCCCTATAGCTAAAACCTTTCCACAAAAAAAAAAAAAAAAGAATTATTTATTTAATTGTATTTATTATATTTTTATTATTTTAAATTTGCTATAGAGCACTAGTGCTCCCTAGAGAGAGAGAGAGAGAGAGAGAGGATAAGAGAAAGGGAAAGCAAGAAAGGAAGATACTAGGTCTAGGACTTGAAGCATGGTTGGCCATGTGGGAGTCCAGCACCTTAACCGCCATGCCTCCTACTGGCCCTGAGGCCTTTTTTTCAGTTCTCAGTTTTCAAAGGAAGAAGCTGGGACCTGGAAGTGCATGTGGTGTGCTCAGTCACACAGTTAGAATTCAAACCGGGCTGAAACTACAGCCTGAGCTTTTGGCCTCAGGTTCCCTGGTTTCTCTGGGTTGAAGTAAATTGTGGGCATGTGGCTGTCAGGGTGAATGATCTGGGACTCTGCCTGTGCTGATGCCTGAATCTCAACTCCCTCGCAGCTCCAGTGAGTGGACAATTTGGTAAGTACCTCCCCCTACCACCCTTTCTTTTCTCTTTTAAGTCTCTAGAAATTGTAATAACTATATTGTGTCTCAAATACTTGTAAGAAATAGCCTTGTTGTCCCCTTCATCCTTGTCTGAAGGCTGTGTGGAGGTGACTATATCCATTGATCTGGTAACTCTGACCCTAAGGACCAGGCTATTGGTGGTCACTGTCGGACCAAACCTGCCGAGGTGCTGGGCAAACATGGAGGGGCCTGGGATGTGTGCCCTGGGCTTTAAAAGGGGAAGGTGCTGGCTCCAGTAATACAGGGTTCTTGCCAAGTCTGGTGGAATGTGCAGAATTCTAAAAGGGAAAGGAAAGAAATAAGTCACTACTTCAAAAGGGAGGTCTTGGCACCAACTTCTTTACCCCTAACCCTGTGTAAACAGTTTGTCCCAAATGTCACGACTGTGTGTAGGCATGTTTTGCTGTTAGTGACTCAGTTATGATGGATCTGAACCCCTATTAATTTTGCTGGTGAGCAGCAAGTCCAGTGTTCTTTGGGATCTGTCACTCAGGTGTTTGGCAATCCCTGTGCTCCACTAATCGGCTGGCTGTCATCCCCCTTGATGCATGCTGTCCACTCCCTATAGTTTCTGGGCCTGCTGCTCTCCAACTCAGTGCTGTGGACACAGACCATTTCCCACAGGTTCCTGCCTAACTGAGACAAAATCGTAGTTTGATAAGACTTTGCTAATGGTTCTAGGACAAGGAAATGAAATGCAGGGAGTATCTTACATCAGCTGCTAGTTATAGTTCATCTCAGAGCCCAGCTGCTCAGTCTCAGCCTCATGAAGGCCCTAACAAGATGTGTCTCCTCTGGGCCATAGCATCACCTGTACACACCAGGGGCAGCTTACTCAGATCAAAGAGGAATCCAGCTGTCCACACCAAAGGAAGGATGTTCTCCTCCCTATTTCCCTATCCCCATGTGCTTCCCAGGAATGTAGCTAGTGGGGATTTCTGTTCTCTTCTTTTCCACTGGGGGCCCAGGGACCTTTTTATAAAATGTTTGTTTTGTATTACTTGTGCAGAGCAAGAGGAGGGATAAGGAGGGAGAGGGAGAATCACTCCCAACATGAATGCTGAGATATGATCTACAGTCTACTCCTAGCCTCAGCCAGCCCAGATTTTGGGCACATGTCTGCCCGGAGTGTTCAAGTCCTGGCCCATGAACCAAAGACCTTCCCAAGTGGGTCCAGTTGCATTACCGCTGCACCATTCTCAAGTCTTTGTCCACATCTCTAAAGCGATACATTTTTAAGGAAATCTATAAAGACACACAAATAATTTACATCACCAGACAGAACATTTAACTTCTTTACTTAAAACATGCATTCAAGTTATTATATAGTTTTGTCCCCAAACAGAGGGAGGGTATTTCCTTTACATTTGGACACAACTAAAAAACCTACTTGAGTAGTTCTTCGAGAAAAGAGTAAGAATGTTTAAAATCTCAGCCTTTTAAAAAGCAATTTTTTCTATGGCCTTACATGTTCACAGCCCTCTTTAACTGATCTAGAAGCTACCCCAAAGAAAATACACTTAAAGTGAGTTCACTTGAATTTTTATAATGCACAACACACCTCAAAAATTGAGATTTCATTTTTGAAAAAAGTAAAGTAATATAAATGAAAATAATTTGTTTTACTTTCTACTTCACCAAAGTTAGATTACCATGGACAATTTGTAGAACAAAGCATGACTCTAATATTGATTTTTTTTTTTCCAGTGTAGTAGCTGTCACAGCCGTAGGCATCATGACTGTTCCAGGCAGGAAGTTGGGGCAGGTGGAATAGGAAGCTGAGGCCAACAGCACCCTGTTGCTCTTCTCCTTTCAACATAAAGGAAACTTCTTACTCTAGTGTCCCCATCCTTATTCAGCCACCAGCGTTACTCCTCTAACATCTCTTTGCCCAGACTTGGGTCATGTAGCAGACCCACTTAGTACCTCACTTTTCCTCTTCCTTCTGTGGAAAGGCATTGGGACTAACTTTCAGGAGCCAAACAAGGCCTTTCCTTATCATCAATGTCTCCTTTATCATTGTTCACAGGTCTTACTCTCCTACACGCCTCAGTGACTTTGTGAGCCATCGGAGCAGTGGTTCCACATAATTTTCACCAACTCCATGGATGACTGCATTTTCAGCAGAATCTGAAACAGTCATTGCAGGGGCAGGAAGGGGTGATACCTTCTCTCTTCCATCATAATGGTCACGGCCAACACTTCAACAACAAAAAATAGGTTAACAAACAAATGTATCTAGAAAGCATATCAAATTTATTTCATCAAAGTTTTACATGACATGGGCACTTTCCAAATGAAGAACCAAAGACTCAGGAAAATCCTATTTCTATGTCTAGGTTTGGTGAAGAATGGACAACCGTGTAGAAATGTGATTTGACAAAAAGGCTATGATGTAATGCTAACAGTCTGAGTGGGGGAACCAGGTAAGGGCCGTGTGTTCAGATTTCTTTTGGTCTTTATTTATTTCACTTCTTCCTCCCAGATATAGCATAGGACTTCTGAATGAGAGTCTTATGATTTATCAGACAAAGTGGGGCAGAAAATTTTTTTATGACTCATCCTTACACAAAAAGTCAAGAAAAGGTTAAAATACTATTCCTAGATTCAATGGCCAACTTGGAGAAGAGAATTTCTAGTTACTATGGCCTGCCTTGATGGAGAAACAGGAACAGGAGACAGGAGGGCAGGAGAAAGTCAGAGAGAGACTTTGCTTCTGAGGCTGCTTCTAAGACTTTCTACTTGTCCTTCAGTGGAAAGTACTCAGCATGTCACAACACCATACTGGGGGGTGTCATTTTCTGAGCCCCAATACAATCCACTTTCATTTGTATACCCACTAAAAGTTTAACCTATCAAAACAAAAGTACAGGAACATGGAGGTGCAGGAGTGATCAGGCTCAGCACTTGCAGCGGGACATGGGTTCTTGTCTTATGCTCAGGAAGAATTTAGAGATGTGCAGGAGTGATCAGGCTCAGCACTTGCAGCAGGACATGGGTTCTTGTCTCACGCTCAGGAAGAATTAGAGAGATGGACACAGAGAGGGGAAAGCAGAGTTTATTGAAAGAGAGGGAAGGAAAAAACAGAATTCCTAAGTAGAAGGGAGGGGGTCTCAGAGAATGAATTGGTGAAGAGGAGCTGGGATGGGCATTTTGTTTTGTTTTGTTTTGTTTTGTTTTGTTTTGTTTTGTTTTGCTCAGGTAGGGTTTTGTCTGGATTTGTTCTAGGTAGTGCACATGCTGGTGGGTTCAGTTATTTTTCTCCTAATTTTGGAGTGGGTACAAAGATGAAGAGATTCTTTGTCTAGAAATTTTGGGCTATAAAAACCATTATCTTATCTTCTTCCCAAAATGTGGTGGGGCCTGGAAAAAAAGCCTTTGTTTAGGTCTAGGTTCTGTTGCCTAGGTCAATCACTGAGCCACCCCTGCAAGCCATTTCTCCTGAGCAAGCAACAGAGCTGCTTTGTCTCCATCTTAAAACTTAGCCATTTTGTGATTTGGGGCCTATACCCTAATTATAATTTTAGGGTCCCTGTCTCCTACTTCAAAAGCATTGAGCTTTGAGCAGGCTTGAGTGGAGGTTTCAAATAACAAATAATTTTGTTCTGTTGTTAACTCTTACTACCTCAAATTCAAAAATAAACACTCAGATCAAAAAGATCCTTCGTGACTCAGCCTTGTGACACAGACAGTAGCAAACTGAACTGCAGTGCTGGAAGCCACATTGTTTTCTGTGAGTTTGAGGACAAAAGTATGATTGCATTTTCTTATTTTAAAAATCCTTTCCAAAGGTTCTAGGGAGAGTCATACCTACAAATATTAACAGATCATTTTAGCCCATTGATAACAGACTCTTTCTACATCTGGTTCCTGGCATGGTACTTTTGTAATGTAGAGCAAGCCTTCTTATCTCTGAATAGGTTATTGGGGACATTCTTTAACTGATCTCTTCCCAAGATCTTCTTTTTCCAATCACCAACCTAAAAAGTTATCAACCCATCTATAACATATAAAGCTTCACTTCCAGATGTCTCACCTCCTCAGAGCAGACCAATGAAAATACTCTACTCTGAATTCCAAAGCTTTGTCTCTTGCTCTCAAAAGCAAATGAAAGGAACCGCTGTACCTGAACAGCTAAGAAACATACTCATTTTCCTCCAGATATGTCATTCGATTTCAAGCTTAATAATAAGCCACATTAATTATAATTTCTACAGAGTTGGTTATTTCCATTGACATTTTGGATAACCAGGTTGGCCTGAGAACATGCTTGGTACACGAGTGGACTCTCAGGATCCTGAGGAGCTAGAAGGCTGAGGAAAAGGCATTGCAGTGCAACAGAGCCTTATCCAGGGTGCATTTCTCTCTCTTTCTCTTGTATGTGCATTTTATTCCATCATGAATAAAATAAACTTTCAAAATTATAGATTATTTATTCATTTTTTAAAAAGGAGCCTCAGTAACAGTTTCTTGTTGGAGAAATATAAATAAAAACAAAAGTCTCCTCCCAACTCAGAAATCTTCACAAAGGTAACAAATAAAACATTTTTTATTACTGAGTTGGCATTAAATCAGAATGTGATCTATATCACAGGCAGTCTGCTAAGAGATTGCAAAGACAGAAAGAAATCCCAACCCTTCTTATAGCTACATGGGTACAACCCACCCATGCATGTTTTCAAGGTAAACAATCACTAGCTCATGGTAAAAGGACTCTCAGCATCTTTTGTCACAAATAGTTCATCCTAACCTTAACTTGGTAATTAGGAAGACAATCTGAGTGAACCAATTGGCTTTTCTCTGGATTCACAAAGGCAGGTAGTTTTGCATATTGGAGCAAGGTGAGCCCACTGACAGGAACAAGGAGATGGGAAAGCTACTGGGTCATTGAAAAAGTCATGACGTATTTTTCTGTTTTTCTGTGCAAGAATGTGTCATGACTTTTCCAACAACCCAATATTTCTTTAGTGGTTTGCATTTCAAAAAGATGGCTCCCAGAACTTTCCTGATGTGTGAGACTGGCAAGAGGCTTATTTAGTCATTATGTGGATTTGCATACATGTAAAAAGGACAGGTAAAGAAAGAAAGAAAGAAAAGGACAAGAGGAGGAAGTTTCTTCTTTTATTTTCAACAGGAGAGATTAAGCCTCTTAGGCTTAATTTGTATTTACTCTTATCTTCTCCAGTTTATCTCCAACAATGTTTAAAGTTCTTAGGGACTGGTTTCATACAGGGTCAGTGTTTTATTGTTATTAAAGAATGTCTTTGAGACTTGGGAAGTTAAGAGCACCTAACTCCCTGGAGTCTTATTCTGTGTAGCTGTCTGAATATAGTTCTTCCTTTAGACAACATCCTGATTTCCTTCTTCTACTTGTTGGTAAAAATACAGTCTAGACCCTTTTCAACAACTGCAAAATTTCTTTTTGTTTGTTTGTTTGTTTTTAACAACTCCAAAATGTATCCCCAAGTTTCTGTACTCCTTCCATCTGTAATCCCTATCCCACCATATGTTTATGTCACAAGAAGGAGGAGAAAAATAGTAAATTATATTTTTCTCTACCCATCTTGTTACCAATTTATAATTTACTCCCAAAGATGGGATCTTTTGTCATTTGCTGTTGCACAGCCAACTTAGGTAATGGAAACTGAGTGTCACATCTCAAGCTTTAATCAATGGCCAAGGAGTGGAGAAATGGGAGACAAATTCACAAATCAACTTCTTCCTCATCTTGAGCTAGAAGTCTTTAAGATATACTATGGTGGTAACAAGGGAAATGGATACAGTAAGAGAGGGGAAAACTAGTCAAAGTTTTTCCAGGAAAAGGTGGAAATTTCTTGAAATTTCAAAATCCACCTCCTTTTTCTCCTTTTAAGGGTTTATTCTGGTGGTTATTGGGAAATGGTAAACTGTCATGGTACTTGTAGATGTGTCATTTTGTATACTAATGACATTACAATGAGGTTTGGGATCTTCCAGAGATCAGTATGATAACTGTCTTGGATCCCACCAAATTAGGATGATTCTTAGAGGATGAGCAGTGACTTATCCAAAGTCATGTGTCCTGTTACTTAAAGAAAACCACTGTTTAGGAAGGGATTGGGAAGATGGTATGTACACAGGCCATTCGGTGGGTGACAATCAGGTTCATTGGCTGCGGCCCATGAATCAAACTGATCAAAGACTAATGAATAGAGAAAAATATTTCAATTATGCACATACACAGGGAATTTACAAAGAACATTGTAGCTCAAGACAGCAGTCATACCATTTTAGGTTATATCCCATCTTAGGTTAAACAAATGAAAGGGAAGTTTGGGGCTCCTGTGAGGAAGAGGAGAGGGGCCAAAGTTACTGAAAGTTGGCAAAGAAAAGTACAGTGAGCAATAATTTTTTAAGTAAGATTTGTTATCCAGATTTAAGTCAATGTCTTTTCTATTGATAAGTTGTTAAGCTCCTCCTCTTCCTGGTATAGGATAGAGAGAAACTTTTTTTTTCATTTCATTTTCTTTTATACATTCAATCACATTATTATTTGTCTTACAAAATGGATATTTCAACAGGTGAACATTTCTCCCTAGTACAGTTGATAAAACTACAAAATATCTTCAACAGATAATACCAAATTTCTTTGTGCCATTAATGCTTTGCCTCCCTATTTTTCTTCTAAATGTCCTTCCTCAGACCCTCCTCTTTCACACACACTATATCTGGTATTTACATCTATACACTGTGTTTCTATATCCTTTAGTCAATTAGTTTCAGTCATAGAGAGAGAAACTTTTACAAATGGACACTTCTTTTTAAAATTCAGATTTGCTTTATGAAAAAAAGTTGTGCTCCCTTTTTAGAGCTTTTCTTGCTTTTGGTAGTTCTCGATGGACTTCATCTCAAAAAGACCTATAAGCTAAAGAGGAATGTTTTGGGATGACATATTCTAGTTTCCTTTACAAGCAAAAGTTCGTTTTAGAGAGGTATCTGTAATATGAGAAACATGAGTGAGAGTCCAGGAAAAATGCAATTCCTATTAGGACCTGGCCCATTGGAAAAGGTAGGAGGGTCTGTGACCCTCCTGTCATCAGTCATTAGTGAGTGGACCCTGCAGGGGCTGCCAGTGTGCTCCTGTAGACGAGCATCCACTGCACTTGCACCTGCACTTGAGGAGGGCACAGCTGGAGGCCTGCCTGCTACCTGGGGCCCTCTTAGGAATTCTCCATAGGCATGTCCTTCCATCCATCCCATATAAACCACAGTGGTTGGGACTATAGGCATCTCTGCTTCAAACCTTTTCTTCTTTTCCTCAGCAACTGCACCCAAACCTGTGATTTCACTCCAGTCCCCATGGAACAACATCTTTCAAGGAGAGAGAGTAAATCTGACTTACAATGGGTTTCACTTCTATGCACCCGAAGAAATGAAATGGTACCATTGGTACCTTGTGAAAGAAATACGAAGAGAAACCCCAAGAAATGTCCTGGAGGTTCGTGAGTCTGGAGAGTACAGATGCCAGGCTCAGGACTCACCTTTAAGCAGTTCTGTGTACGTGTTCTTTTCTTCAGATGAGAAAGAAGGCAAATGTGCTACAACTTTAGAAATGGTTTCAGATCATCTTAGCTCCCTAGAGGTTCTGAGTACTGGAGTCCTTCATTCCTCTCTAAGCCTAGACTTTAGGTACTTTCAGTTTCATATTTTCCCCCTTTGTTCAATCTCAGAAAAGAAGGCTGAAGCAAAGCAAAGTAAGCAAAGATTAATTTATTCAGTCCAAAATGAGGACGATCCAAGTTACCCTGAATGATGTGTGCTGAGGTCTTGTAGAATGTAGGACAGTTTCAAAGACAAAAAGTCACAAGTGCAGAAGGGAGGTAATGAAAAGTCTTACATTGGTCAAAGCCAGCAGATGGAGTAATGGTTAAGGTGCTGGACTCCCACGTGGTCAACCGCAGTTCAAGTCCCAAACCTGGTGGCTTGAAACTCATGCTGAGCACATGTGCATGTGTGCCCAAAATCCCAAGAGGAGAATGGAAGAGAAGGGATTGTGATGTGGCCATGCCCCCTGGGGGGTGATTTCTTGCTTTCTGTTTCTCTGTCTCTCTCTGTCTCTCCCTCTCTCTCTCTCTCTCTGGCAATTACACACATCCTATAGCAAAAATATTAAAACAAAAAGTTTACATTGGTCAAAATCTATACCAAGGAATCTCTGAAAATGTTTTATTATCATTACTTTTTAATTTGCTATAGGGCTTATGTGCTCACCAGAGAGAGATGGGGGAGTGGGTGGAAGTGAGAAAGCAAACCACCAGGTCCAGTGCCTCAACCACAATGCCATTGCTGGCCCTATACCAAGGTATTTTATTTGACAGTGACTTGCTAAATCCATGGTAAGGGAAAAGAGAAATATTTCCTGGTCATTCTGAAGCCAGTATGAGAGTTAATATTACAAGTTAGTTTAAAGGGTTAAACAATGGGTTTAATGCTCAGACAATGGTCAGTTAGTCTCCTTGGAAGCAGAATGGGCATCGGAGACAGCATTGTCCAGGTGTGTTGACATCTCTCAATCTTAAACCTCAGGGAGGGACTGAAGACAATTAGTCTCTTCTCTGAGAGTTTAAGCCTACAGGCTGAGAAGAGAATGTTAGAGCAAAGTCCTTTCCTATGTTTTGGAAGAATGAAGGACAAGTGTACATTCTAAAATGGATCACCTTCAGCATACCTAGGTCTAGTTTCTTAGGCTACCCTTGGTCTTATTTTGGAAGAAATGCCTCTTTTTTGTTTGTTTTCTTTTAAGGTTTTTGTCATAGTACACATGTGCTCTCTGGAGAGAAATAGAGCTAGGGAAAGTGAGAAATC